TCATCTTCACATCTGGAGAAGTTGTCAACCTTGCTAGCCTTGTTTCTTCAGCCAACACCAAAACAACCTCAGGTAATAATCTGATAACGTGGCATTTATTTTAGACTTAAAATGAACAGGACCCCAGTTTTTCCTGTGAGATGAATTCATACCCTGTCTGATACCCACTCATTTATTAAAATATTCTCCAAATAGAAGATTTATAATAGATTTTAAAGCCAATGCATTTATTCTTCCTGGGGGAAGGGGAGATCATACACAAGGATTACATATGAGTGCTTACGGTATTAAAAGTAAAATATTTTACAGATTAATCTGTATGTGACCGCAAAATGAAAACATAAGGGTGCTTCAATATGGTACCACTAAGGAAAATAGTTAAATATTCATAGTTTAAAACAGTGACAAACCAGAATAAATGTAAATGGGTGTTGGAGTGCGGATATAAAAGAGGTACATGTGATTATTTGAATAAAGTGTAAGAGCTTTGATTTGTTCTTGGGAACATAAGTAACAACAAAATAGAGAAAAGCACATTTTGAGATCTGTATGTTTTTTTGTTTTGTTTTTTTTAAAGATTTTATTTATTTATTTGAGAGAGAGAATGAGATAGCATGAGAGGGGGGAGGGTCAGAGGGAGAAGCAGACTCCCTGCTGAGCAGGGAGCCCGATGCGGGACTCGATCCTGGGACTCCAGGATCATGACCTGAGCCGAAGGCAGTCGCTTAACCAACTGAGCCACCCAGGCGCCCAGAGATCTGTATGTTTTTAACAAAAACATCTATTGCAAAAGGAGCAAATTGAGCTATTTTCAACATTTCTTTACAAGTATTTGTTTTACAATGAGGGAATCTGTGTCCTCATTTAAATAAATTTTCCAACTGACTCAATTTCTTTTTCCGACTTTCACTTAAAAATAAGACACTGTGGGGCGCCTGGGTGGCTCAGTCGTTAAGCGTCTGCCTTCTGCTCAGGTCACGATCCCAGGGTCCTGGGATGGAGCCCCGAATCCAGCTCCCTGCTCCGCAGGGAGCCTGCTTCTCCTTCTCCCACTCCCCCTGCTTGTGTTTCCTCTCTCGCTGTGTCTCTCTCTCAAGTAAATAAATAAAATCTTAAAAAAAAAAAAAAAGACACTGTATTCCTAGTTAAGTTTGTATAATATCAAAGAAAGATCTTGAGTGAAGTGTTATTATTGAGGGGCAGTGTGGCAAAATAGAGCAGATAAAATATACATAAAATTTTACATTCAGTACTGCATTTAAATACTGATTTATTAATTGACTACATGCTTGACCTTGGGAAAACTCTTACTTCTCTAAGCCTTCTTTACTTATTTACAAAATTGTGATATAACAATATCTACTTTATGAGGTTATGAGACTTTGTATTTCCATTTTCTAGCAGGACTTCCGTAATAGCTAGTATTAAATGAAAATATAACTCCTCAGTGAAAGTTTATTCTGTTATGCCCTCAAGGGGGCAGTAATGACCTTCATTTTATAGGCCATCAACTATCATTTAAAAATCACTGTGCTTTGCTTTCAGCTTGATAATTCAAAAAGTTTAGGTTAAATATACAATAATAAATACATGTAATCAGAACATTCACAGACTTTTGGATTTGTTGTGGTTCAGGCCACAGTGATTAGAACAAGTACCTTTATAATCCAAAAGTCTTTAGAAGCCAGTAAAGTTATATATTCACAAACATGTAAAAGGAGCTGGAGTTGGTAATCTAACTATTCAAATTCTTCAGACCCTGATCTGAAATGACAAGCAAAGTTGAAGACATTTAGGATACAGCTTCTTAGCCTTGGTTCCCATGGGCCTATATCATGTTTGTCATGTTGCTTTTGGCAAACCTATTGTTTCTCTCTTCCGTATGTTGCCAACTACAAATTTAGATTGCCAAATCACCACATAATAGGGCTGATCTCTCCAGTGTCGTCTTACCCATGAAACTGTTCTACCTACCTCTCCCTTCAGGGGAGATAACCAATGCAAATAAAAGAAAGGAGAAAAGTTATAAGACAAATTCAGGTTGTCTTATTCAACTGGGTTAAAGGATTTTCTTCTCCTGAACGGTGGGTGGGTGGCTGCTTTTTTCCCATTACCCAATTTTTTTTTTTTTTTTTAAGAGAGAGAATGTGTGCAGATGCATGTGCAAGGTGGGGAGAGGAGGGGCAGAGGGAGAGGGAGAGAGAAAATCCCAAGCAGGCTCCATGCCAAGTGTAGAGCCGGATGTGGGGCTTGATCTCAGCACCCTGAGAACATGACCTGAGCCGAAATCAAGATCGGACGCTTAATTGACTAAGCCACCCCTCTTTTTCCCCCATCATCCAGTAATTTTTAAAAAAATGTTTTTTAAGATTTTACTTATTTATTTGACAGAGAGAGAGAGCCAGAGACCACAAGGAGGGGGAATGGCAGAGGGAGAGGGAGAAGCAGGCTCCCCGCTGAGCAGGGAGCCC